CTGTGCTCCGTCACCCGACAGTCAATAGCCCTCTATCAGCCAGTCAAGGCTCCAACACCTCTGCTGAGGGGAGTTGTCGCTCGTTGGCATCTTCCGCTCGTTCAGATGCTCCTTCTCTGCTACGCCTCTTCACGGATTCCGTCAGCAGTCTTTCTTGGAATCCGTTTCCAAGAGACAACAGTTTTGCGAGCACGCACACCAACGGTGCAGAAGCTGAACGTCCTCCTGTCCAAGTTGCTGGTGACTGCAGTCCCTCCCTTTCCAAGTGGTGGACTCAGCACCTTTCCGAGAAATGATGGCTGTGCCGAGCCGCTGAGGTGGAGAGTGCCAAGCCGGGGATTTCTTCGCCAAAAAGGCAGTGCCAGCCCTGCATTCACAATGTAGAAGAGATCTTGGTGGGCCAGTCTTTGAGCATGTCGGTCTCTGCCAAAGTGCACGGCAGCGCCGACGTGTGTGAGCTGTAACTACGGTCAGGGACAGCTACATGTCATTTACGGCCACACTGGGTGAACGTGGGTGCCGGCAGAGCCGGCACCAGCAACCTTGTCACGCCACTTTTTGCCTCACGTTTGCACGTCCTTGGTCCAGCAAAGATGTGGTCCCGCCCTCTACCACCTCTTTTTCCGGCCGTGTCCTCAGCCGCCACCCCCCGTGCCAAGTCCCATTACGCCGACCGGCAATATCACATGTGCAGGGCGCAACGGTGTCACGGCTGTGCTGCACCCTGGTATCCCTTGGCGAACGTTAGTCACACAGGGGAGGAACTTCTGAGTGTAATGAACAGAGAAATCGACAGATGGCTGTACTACGCGCAAACTGAAAATCGGAACCATGTTGACCGACAACGGGAAAGAAACATGGTGTTCCTTTGCTCTGCGTCAAGGAAGGTTGTGCATGCGCCATGCATGGCTCACGTGTTCAATCTGGTTGTCAAGCGGTTCCTAAAATCCACACATTCCACTGCAAGACATACCTTAAAATGTCACCGTAAACTTTTGCATGCATTTCAGCCATTCCTACACCGCAAAGCACACCCTCCTTGAGCTGCAGCGGCTCAGAACGGGAAATTCCACAGCATCGCCTGATCTGCGACGTTGCAACAAGGTGGAATTCAACCCTACATATGTTGACGCCTTTACGAACAGCGAAAGGCCATCACCGGGGGATTTCCTGATGTTACAAGCGGATAAAGGTACTCCCCTGTGTAACTTTAGATGTCAGCCATTGGTGCAGCTCATGCGTGACACCTGCCGCTTGCTCAGGCCCTTTGAGAGGTAGGGCCACGCTATTCGTGAGTCGGCAGGACTATGGGGATGAACGACGTCATTCCTCTGTTGCACGTCCTTGGAACAAATGCTGTTAACAATGGCTGGTCATGGGTGCGGTAGAGACGTGGCGCACAGATCTCAACGCCACATGACCCCTGTCGGGGGCAGGACAGGAAGAAGAGGAGGAGGTAGAGGAGGACATTGGTGCTTCAGGAAATTATTGAGTGAAATGGGTGGTTTTCCACTCAGCGGACAGGAGTGGAGGAGCAGGAGCATCTGGTAGATGAGGAGGAGGAGGAGGAGACAGAGGACTCCAGAGCGCACCGTGGCAGTATGGCTGCTGGAGATGGAGGCAGGGAAGTCCCTCGCATCCTTGGCACAAATGGCCCATAGCATGCTCGGTTGCATGCGTAGCAAAACAGCCGAATAATATACCATCAGACAGAAGGGATGACTTTTGGCTGTCCACCTTGTTGGACCCTCGCTACAACCCCCGTTCAAAAATGGTGGCCTTTTTCACACACCGCCTGCTGAGAGGGAGGCCAGAAATAAAGTACTATAAAAACCACCTATTGTAGTCAGTTGGTCTCTGCCTTTCTGCGCCAACGTCCTATCCTCAGACACTGTGGGCCCTGGCAGCAGGGGAGGGGGTGGGGTGGTGGTTGGAGCAAGTGGCAGCTCACACCAGCAGCGGCTGCCCACAGTCTGCAGTCGATGATGAGTAGCTTTCTTCACCTAGTGCAGTGAGGAAAAACTACTAACCAGCCGCAGCAGCAGCAGCAGCATCAGGTGGACCTGGAGCAGGACCTCAAACAACAGGCTTGGGCCTACTTGGACAAGCACCCTGCCAACCGAGGTAGACAATCCCCTTGACTACTGGGCAACGAAACTTGACCTTTTGGGCCCCAACTAGCTGAATTTTGCCCTTTGAAAGGCATTGTCATGCCTCCGGCCCAGTAGCGTGGCACCATCGGAGCGCGTGTTTAGTGCTGCAGGAGGTATTGTAACTCCGCGGAGGACCACGACTGTCCACCCAAAGTGTGTGGAGAGACTCACGTTTGTGAAATGAATCAGGCGTGGATTAGTCTGGATTTCAAACCACCAGTTCCTGACACATACTGACTAAATCCGCCATGAATCTCATGCCCCAAACATGTTATTAGGGACAAATGGAAGACCTCCACCTGAATCCGTACATTTGTATAGATTTTTTATTGAGAGGCTGCTGGTCGGCCGACCGACTCATGTTTTGCCACATTTTTAATGAACTTATATCTGCAGGTCGGGTCCCTCATGACATTGGGGTTTTTAAATTATTTATACTTCGCTGGACGGACCGTCACATGAATTGAACCTTTTTAATGACTATATATACTCTGCTGGTTGGGCCCCTCATGAATGGGTGTTTTTAAATTATTTATACATCGCTGGACGACTGTCACATGAATTTAAACTTTTTAATTATTTACAGTCGACCAGCTTTCCAGATCGATGGAATAGCAATTTTTTTAAATATTTATTTGACACGTGTTGTCCATCTCATCAATGAGGTGGGACTGTTTATTTATTGCCACGGTTTGGCCCCCTACTGTTTCTTACCTTGTTAACTTGTTGTATCGGTCACGTCTTTTGGCCACATGTTTTGGTTGTCTTGTTAAGATTTTCTGTTAGATGTACACAGTTACGCTTGACTTGTCGACTCCTCCCCCCCCTCACAATCTACTAAGGTATAGCATCGCTTATCAAAGTTTTTTTTTTTTTTTTGGTCTAAACCATTTCTTATAATGTCAATTTGTAGGATACGCCCGCTTTAAGGGCGACCTACTTTTTTTGTCATCTGTGTAGACATCTATTTATAGGCGATGTTTGGCCAGAAAGATATATTTAGTAATAACCTAGCCGTTCCAGCCCGCTCACTGAACACCTCGGGAATTGTTTTTGGTATATCTGTCGCCTTAGGGGCCGCTGTCTGGCGACATAATTTTTTGTCACTGTGTAGACATCTATTTATAGGCCGATGTTGGCCACAAAAATATATATTTAGTAATAACCTAGCCGTTCAGGCCGCTCCCTGAAAAACACCTCGGGAGATTGCTTTGAGTATATCTGTCGCCTTAGAGGCCGCTGTCACTGAACAGCTCATGAATTGCTTTTCTATATTTGTCGCCTTTGAGGGCCACCGCTGGCTGGACAAGCTGATGAATTGGATTTGTATTATTATGTACTTATTGTCCGCTGTCCTTCGGACAGCTCATGAATTTACTTTGTTGTATATAGCCTTCCAAAACCACTCTCAGAATAAGTCATGATATTCATGCTGTTGTATAGCTTATAGGCCAATGGTCAATCAATGTTCATTGATTGTTAATAGTTGTGTATAGGCTTATAGGCCGCTGTCTTTACAACTTTATAATTCCATGCAGTATATAGCCCTATCGGCCACTTTCTAGCATCCTGTTGGGCTTCTTGTTTGGTATTAGCCCCCATCACCAACACTGTGCCAACGGGCCCCTGTACCGCCTTCTCATACTGCTGCCAGATCCATCCTCTGCCATGTGCCGGTCTTTGTCGTCTTCTGCTCACGCTGCTGGGTTCCAGTTTTAAACTAGGCCTGTGTGTATGGCTTCCGAATACTGCTGCCTCCACCGCCTCCCTGCGCCATGTGCCTCTGTCATTGCTATCTTTTTTCGCTGCTTGACGGCTTTCCGCTTTTTAACCTAGGCCTGTGTATTTGGCTTCTGAATACTGCTGCCTCCACCACCACTCCCCTGCGCCATGTGCCTCTCTGTCGTCTGCTCACGCTGCTGACGGCTTCCGCTTTTTAAACTATGTCCTGTGTATGTCTTCCGAATACTGCTGCCTCCACCGCCACCCTGCGCCTTGTGCCACTTTTCGGGTCTCCTTCCTCACACTGCTGCCAGGTCCATACTGATTCATGGCCCCCTGTACCGGCTCCTCATGAACGTGGTTCAGCGGGTTTGCATCACTTAACGGCAAATCATTGACAAAATGCTTGGGACGTTCAGTTTTGTGCGCATTAAGCCAGTCACCAATGGGCAGCACAGACCTGTTATACTCGCTCAAGCATGGCTGAACAAAACCAAGTCTCTACCACAAATTGGACCCAGACCTGCCAGGGGTCTCGTAATTAGATTGCACGGAGGAGCTGTAGAGTCCGTTATCGGAATTAAAATAGACAAAACGCCACACCATTAAAAGAGTGGCCATTTCCGAAACACTTATTCCAGAAAGAGGAACAACCCGTTTATATATACGGCCCGTAGACGTTTCAGTCTGCTCCACATTCAGTCGATTTAAGACGCAAGCTCCACTTGACTGTGGTCTCTGACCGTCGATATAACCTTTAAGTGTCTAGCTTTGAAGCTATATTCCCTCCGGATAGCACTGACACTGGTGCCCTTCCGTCAACATGCCTTTAAGTTTCAGTTTTTCAACCATATTACCCACAGAAGCCATAACTCTTGGGTATCCAAGAAGCTGCTCAGCGGGGTCAGGGCAATAAAGCATCCCGGTTCGCAGGTTGTTCCGTCTTATGGATGGAAGTTATGACGGTATATGATCTTCTTCGCACCCACGGCATTCACCTCATATAGAATCTCTGCATTGCATCTGCACTGGCCCAATCACAACGCATGACTTCCCGGATCGCCACTCAGCCATTGGACTCTTGATAGTCGTCTCCCCACATGCTGCTGGGGGGACTTATTTAACCTAGGCCTGTGTATGGCCTTTCAATTGAAGCTGCTTCCGCTCCGCCAACTCTGCCATTGGACTCTTGATAGTCGTCTCCCCACGCTGACTGCTGGGGGGACTTTTTTAACCTAGGCCTGTGTATGGCCTTCAATTGAAGCTGCTTCTTGCTCCGCCACTCTGCATTGGACTCTTGAATAGTCGTCTCTTCCCACACTGCTGCTGGGGGGACTTTTTAACATAGGCATCTGTATTGCCTTCAATTTAAGCTGCTTACGGGCTTCGCCACTCTGCATGGGCCCCCTGTACCGCCTCCTCTTGCTGCTGCCAGGTCCAGAGTGTGTCATGGGTCCCTGTACGGGCCTCCCATTGCTGCTGTCTTCATCGCCAGACTCTGCCATGTGCCACTTTCAGGTCTCCTTACACTGTTGGTGGGTTTCCATTTTGTGATAGGGTGCTGTTTGGCCTTCCATTGCTGCTGCCAAGATTCCACTGCCACCCTGCGCCATGTGCCTCTGTCGTCTGCTCACGCTGCTGACGGCTTCCGCTTTTTAACCGAGGCCTGTGTTTGGCTTCCGAATTTACTGCTGCATCCACTGCCACCCTGCGCCATGTGTCTCTGTCGTCTGCTCACGCTGCTGACGGCTTCCCGCTTTTTAACCTAGGCCTGTGGTATGGCTTAGAATAATGCTGCCTACACCGCCACCCTGCGCCATGTGCCTCTGTCGTATGCTCACGCTGATGCCAAGGTCCCCATACTGATTCATGGCCCCCTGTTAACGGCTCCTCATGAACGTGGTTCAGTGGGTTTGCATCACTTACGGCAAATCGTTGACAAAACGCTGGGACGTTCAGTGTTGTGCGCATTAAAGCCAGACACCAAAGGGCAGCACAGACCTGTTATTACTCGCTCAAGCATGCTGAAACAAAACCAGTCTCTACCACAAATTTGGACCCAGACCTGTTTCCAGGGTCTCGTAAGTATGATTGCACGGAGGTTAGTAGAGTTCGTTATTGGAATTAACTGTGAGGGACTTTTAAACCTAGGCCTGTGTATGGCGTTCAATTGAAGCTGCATTCTGCTCCGCCACTCTGCCATTGGACTCTTGATAGTCGTCTCCCCACGCTGCTGCTGGGGGGACTTTTTTAACATAGGCCTCTGTATGGCCTTCAATTTTAGCTGCTTACGCTCCGCCACTCTGCCATGGGCCCCTGTTACGCCTCCTCAGGCTTGCTGCCAGGCCCGTAATCTGCCATGGGCCCCCGTACCCGACTCCTCATGCTGCTGCCAGGCCCGTAATCTGTCATGGGCCCCTGTAACTGCCTCCTCATGCTGCTGCCAGGTCCAGAGTGTGTCATTGGGTCCCTGTACGGCCTCCCATTGCTGCTGTCTCCATCGCCACACTCTGCATGTGCCACTTTCAGGTCTCCTCACACTGTTGGTGGGTTCCATTTTGTCATAGGGTGCTGTATGGCCTCCCATTGCTGCTGCCTCACCGCCACACTGTGGCTTCACACTCTGGTTTTTGGCCCCGTGACTGCCCAAATGAGTGAAGTGTGCGGTGATTTCTAGATCGACGGCACTCATCTGGCATGTCATACTGACTGACAGTATTATTTTTCTGCACTAATATAAAGGCTTTCTGAAGCCTAGAAACACCCTTTTTATAAGTTAAATTCGCAGCGAATATATTCGGCTCGAAGCGAATTTATTCGGCGAATTCGGCGAATCAGCCGAACCGAATTTTTGAATAATTCGCTCATCTCTAATTACTATTAAATTAATATATTGCAGCTTACTATTAAATATAATATATTGCAGCTTACTATTACTATTTAAATATAATATATTGCAGCGTACTATTACTATTAAATACAATATATTGCAGCGTACTATTACTAATAAATATAATATATTGCAGCTTACTATTACTAATAAATATAATATATTGCAGCGTACTATTAAATATAATATATTGCAGCTTACTATTAAATATAATATATTGCAGCTTACTATTACTATTTTATGGTGGCTGCATTAAGCTTTCAATTTCAAACTAAAAACATTTTTTCAGCAAGTACAAAAATACCTGTAGATCTTGCTAGAAATCCATTGTTTAAAGTTTTTTTGTAAACTACTAGTCCCATCAATCCACTATGTAATGGAGATGAATATAAGCAGACATGTTTGAGGTATGGCCTAGGTGACAACTATGTCTCCTTCCATAAATATAGAAAAGAAAAAACACCACTCCAGTGAGCTCCTTGGTTCCCGTAATATGTTAATCTAAGTCCAATGAAAACTCATTTCCACTCAATGCAGCAGGAGAGGGAAGTTGCATAAAGAGAATCTTCTAACCAGAAGTTGAAATACTAACCATGTAGAAGTAAATTTGGCTGCAATGGATTAAAGGACACCTAAACCCAAGAACAAATTTGAAATATATTGCAACTTACAGTCCTTAGATGTGACGGTTGTATTTCTTTTCTTTTTTTTTTTTTTCAAGATAAAAACATTTTCAACAAACACAGAGCATACCTGTTGATCTTGTCAGAAATGCCAAAAAAGTCCTTGTTACTTCCTGTGAGCTGAACCAACTAATATCTACCTTTTAACTATCTGCTGTAAACTACCAATTGCCCTACCCTGATATAATGGAGATATATGAAAATGTCTGTAGTCCAAATCAGGAAAGCAGCCTAGGGCGACAACCATGGCTCTCCATACATACCATGGAGGGGTAATGTAGCCACCCAATGACAGGAAGTGTGTTTGCAGGATTACCAGGTGAAAATATTAAGCAAGAAAAAAAACTTGAAAAAAGAAAAAAAAAAGAAAATGAATACTGCCATCACACCAAGGACTAGTAAAATGCAATAGATTACATTTTTTGATTTGGGATTTAGGTACACTTGAAATATAGCTACAGTTAAGATAAGTGTATTGATTTTAAAATTAGTGACACTTGACTTGTTGACTGGCATTGCTCTTCAAAGAAACCTTGAATCTGAACTTGTACTAACATCATTAAAAAAAATATCAGACATTTTTAAATTTTACCAGGTGAAAATAAAGCAAAAAAAAAAAAACTAGAAAAAAAAATGAATACAGCCATTACACCAAGGACTAGTAAGATGCAATAGATTACATGTTTGGTTTGGGTTTAGATACATTTTAAATAGAACTACAAATGTATTGACTTTAAAATTAGTGACTCTTTCACTGATTTAACTTGACTGGCATTGCTCTTCAAAGAGACCTTAAACCTGAACTTGTGCTAAAAGTCACAAAAAAAAAATGATCAAACATTATACATTTAAAATGTACATTTAAAAACCTTCTAATTATAATTGTATCTTCCCATCTTACTGGTACCTGACCAAAAGACTTCAATATTGCAATTTCCTCATCACAATCTTCTAGCACAATATTCGTTTTTGCTTTTGGATGGATGCCAACAAATAGGCATCATGACAATCCATCATGATGTTCACAGGCAGTAAAAAAAGGAAAATAAAGTGGTTTTAACAATATCCTATTCTATCCAAAATAAAAAAAAAATGTTTTGACTAGAGCAGGGGTGTCCAAACTTTTTTCAAAGAGGGCCAGATTGGATGAAGTGAACATGGTGGAGGGCCGAACATTTTTCCGAACAATCTTTGAACCATTACAATTAAATGCAAATAAATTATTTTATGCCAAGTTAATTGCAAACGACATACTTTTCATTTCATAACATTAAGATCAACTGGCAGCTGAGTTTTCACAATGTATTGAAAATAAATGTAAAAAAAACTTACCTGCACTAATGTGTCTCCTAGATTGTAAGCTCGAAAGAGCAGGGCCCTTGATCCCCTCATGTTTTGCATTGTATTGGTATTGTTCTGTCACATGTTCTGTCTCCCTTTTGTAATGTACAGCGCTGAGCGAACTATTGGCGCTTTATAAATACTGTATAATAATAATAATAATAATAATGTGAAGGGTGCAAAAAGGGTGAAAAAGGTAGCTGGAGCTGAAGTCTCTGCTCGGCAGCCGGGAGGGGAAGAGAAACACACTTCACGCTGGAAGCCTGGCCCTGATGTCACCGCCCTCTGTCGCTCCCAGCGCGGCGCAGTCACGCATGCGCACTGCTCTCAAGCAGAAGACTGTCTGCCATAGAAGGGAGGGCCACATTACACAGAGCAGGGGCGGGCTGTTGGAGGGCCATATTAAACCGACCCCCGGGCCGTAAATGGCCCGCGGGCCGGACTTTGGACATGCCTGGACTAGAGGTATGTTTCAAACTATCTTACAGTCTCATATATCTATTGTGAGTCGTATTGGTAAGATCTTTATGCATCCATCCTGGTTCCTAAGTCTGGACACCTACTGTGGCTAATATAAGGTGTTCCCACTCTCCCTGTTGTATTTTGTTTGTATTTATTCAAAATTAGTGAAATATTTTTTTCTATGTAACTGTAAAAAAAAAAAAAAAAATAAAAGTGTTTGCTGCACCACTCACCCACCTACCAATTCTGCCCCCACAGACACCTTTCATCTGTCCTTCAGTGCCAAGTCTCTAAAAGGAAGAATTATGGCCAGTGTGTTTCAACCCACTTCCTGTGAGCCCATGCTGTCATGAACACACCCCCTGGACCCCCTTATTCTGGACTCACAGTACAATGCTACAGGGAATGGTGTTGACATCATAACATGATCTGTATCACTGTGGGCCACCCAGCACCAAAAAGAAGAGGCAGGTTCCCATTCACAATACAGTACTGTGGAGGCTCACAGTAAAAGGCTGCAGGAAATAGCATTAACATCATGACAATCTGCATCACTGAGGGCCACCCACCAGTAAGAATAGAAGAGGAAGGATCCAACTTTTAATCTGATAGGTTAAGAGAAAGTTCTTGAATGACAAAACGCGTTGGTAGGTGGCGCTACATGACGCACAAAGACATGCTTGTTTGGTTGATGTGGATGCTCTCATAGCTGATTACAGAGACTTTTGTTTGTTGGTGCACTCAAATCAGTGTGATAAGAAGCACTGCTCCATGTGAGTAGTTTTTGCTTTTTTATGTTTTTAATGTTTATTATCCACTTCCCAACAGCCCAATAGAAGAAATACTGCTACAGGGCTGCACGAGTGCGCAAAATCACGTATATATACATGTGATTTTGAATTTCCCGGGTAGGGGGGATGTGCGAGCCCTACCCGTGCCGCCATTCGCGGCCGCAGCTGTCAATCACCAGGTCCCGGCCGGTGAATACTCGCCGGTGCCCGATGGGGAGTTTTGTTTACTAACAATTCCCCTCCCTGTCAGCTCGTGCACATTGCTTTGGATGGCTGTGCACAACACAGCCATTCAAAGCAGTGTGCTTACAGTGAACCACACAGACACCGCCCCATAGTAAAACACATCCAGCACACAGTTAACCCTTTGATCACGCCTCATGTTAACCCCTTCCTGTCCAGTGCCATTAGTACAGTGTCAGTGCTTTTTTTTTTTTTTTTTTTAGCACTGATTACTGTATTGGTGTCACGGAGGATGTCAACGACACCACATCAGCTCCCCCAGTGTCAGAATATCTGCTGCCGTCCCGCAGTCCTAGTATAAGTTGCTGATCGCCGCCATTACTAGTAAAAATTAAAAAACAAATCCCTAGTATATATACCGCCATTTGTAAACGCTATAACTTTCACGTAAACCAATAAATTTACACGTATTGGGATTTTTTTCAGCAAAAACATGTAGCAGAATACATTTTGGCCTAAATTTATGACATTTGATTTTTTTTTACATTTTGTACTGGACATGTTTAATAGCAAAAAGTCCAAAATATTGTTTTTTTCTCCAAATTGTCGGGTTTTTTTTATAGCACAAAAAACTTGGAAATCTTGTCCAAATATTCTAGGTTAGATTTTCCTAAATCTTCTATATGGCCAATTAATTGGAAATATTTGCATATCTAAAAGATAAATTATAAACTAGATTTCATAGATTGTAAGCTCGAAAGAGCAGGGCCCTCAATCCCCTCATGTTTTGCATTGTATTGTTATTGTTCTGTCACATGTTCTGCCTCCCTTTGTTGTAATGTACAGCGCTGAGCAAACTCTTGGCGCTTTATAAATACTGTATAATAATAATAATTTCAAACAGCCCTTTTTTTAAATGTGCCAAGAATAAAGCACTCAACCAATAATAGAGAGTCCTTGATCAATACTAAACATACATCAA